GTATCAATTCTCTTTGAATAAAAATTGCCATAAACATATCGAAGATATTTTTATATTTTTGTTTTTGCGCGCGCAATGCTTTCACCAACCTACAAAAATTACAAAATAGAAACGGCTGTCGAAGAAATAAAGGAAACGTCTCAACACGTGTGCCAGATGGAACCTCATCTCTCTTCTTTTATTTATAACTTCTTCTCTGATTATCATTTACACGTGTGTCTTCTCATGCATTTTTTACCACTCGTGTGTGTTTCTTATGTTTTTTCACTTTCTCACGGATCAACACCATTACCAAATATTTTAGCTATTTACTATAATCTTAACTTTGATCACATCTATTGTAAATTACAGAAATATAAATTTTTCTAGTATTTTATATCTGAAAATTATAGCATTAATCTAAATCATTGATCATAAAATCGTAATAGCTTTCACCGTCTTCCGTTGCCGTTAAGATATTTATCTATCCACAGTAGTTATGTCCATGCAACAATAATTAACTGTAATGTTTTATAATATTGTTTTGGCATTTTTCATATCAAAAGTTCCCATGGGTAAATTAAAAACTATTAAATATTCGACTCATCATTTTGTTTTTCTTCCTATAAATTCCCCTTTCAGTTTCCTAAATTTTAAATATAGTCTTTCCGATGATGAAATCTCTATAATTCTTTTCCTTTTTTTCAAAATAATAAAAATGTATTAAGCTCGATCATTGTTTGTAAGGATCAAAATGTTGAAAAGTGTAAACCCAAAGGCATTCTACGAGATCGGGGAGCAGCAATATCCTCCGTTAGGGTACATTGTAAGCAAACCTGGGAATGCAGGAGCCTACGATATTGACCCTCCGATCCCGACCGTCGACGATGCGATTTACGGCTCAGACGAGTTTCGCATGTATGCTTACAAGATCAAAAGGTGTCCTCGGACTCGTAGCCACGACTGGACGGAGTGTCCTTACGCTCACCGCGGCGAGAAGGCCACTCGCCGTGACCCTCGCCGTTACACTTACTGCGCCGTTGCATGCCCAGCTTTTCGAAACGGTGCATGTCACCGTGGCGATACATGCGAATTCGCGCATGGCGTGTTCGAGTATTGGCTCCACCCGGCGCGTTACCGTACACGCGCCTGCAACGCCGGGAACTTGTGCCAGAGAAAAGTGTGTTTCTTTGCCCATGCGCCGGAGCAGCTCCGGCAGTCTGAGGGAAAGCATAGGTGCCGGTACGCGTATAGGCCGGTGAGGACGGCAGCGGCGGCGAGAGGAGGGAACGGAGGTGGTGTTCTGGGGATGAGAATGGACGGTGAGGATCAAGACACGTGGCGGTCTCCGGTTAAGAGAGGGGAAAGTGATTTAGATAGTAACGAGGAGAGGGTGTTGTTGAAGTGTTGGAGTGGGATGAGTATTGATGATCATTATGAGCCGTCCGATTTCGATTTGGATTTGTCACATATTGGTTGGATCTCGGAGTTGGTTGATTAAATTGAGAACGTACAAAAAGAAACGATGAATAAAGTGGATTTTGTTAAGATCCTACGAAGACCAAGATTCAAGATTAGAGATCTTGTTATGTATATGTAAATTTTAATTCAACTAATGATTACTTTTGCAATGTCTCAAAAAGAGTTATATATCTAAGCATATATAAACTGATTCATGATCTTCTATAGTTCTTGCAGTTTAGAGGCAAATTAAAGGTAACAATGTTTTAAAAATTTGAGTTTCAGAAAAGGAGAGTGATTCACTAATCATGCAACCGTTACATTAATATAATGGTTGTCAGTATATTTAGTATAATAAGTTTGGATTGTAAATCGCGTTGACAAAAAAAAGCAATTTGGTTGACAATATATACGTAATTAGTGCTTCTCCCGTTCCATAAATACAGATTCGTTTTTTTTTATGGAGTGATTCAATTAGTAGTGATTACCAAAAAAAAAATCTCTTTAAAGACCTAAAGGGTTTGATTTGCATGTTTAGAGATTGACCTTTATTAAAGATATAGATTCGATTCACATTTTTACGTTTAATATGGGATTGATTCGCATATTTGGATTTAATTTGCATGTATGGGTTCGATGTGATTTCCTATTCGCATGTTTGGTTTGGGACGATTTTGATTCAATTTGCATGGTTAGGTTCAGTTCACATGTTTAAGTCTTTGTTATAGTCCACGATGGTCCCGGTTTGACTGTCATGGTCCCTAGTTAGTTTGTGAGAGTTAGTCTGCCATGGTGTCTGGTTAATCTTCCATGGTTTATGGTTTGCCTGGTTTTGATCAGAGAAGATGCATTTCAGGTTTTGTTTTTACAGTAGGTGGTAGCTACTAACATAGTGAGTTAGAAATTTTCTCTTTAGCATGTGCTAGCTTATCCATGAGCCGGAATTAAGCTCGATGGATGATAATGATTTTATATTCATTTCTCATGTAACTCCCAAAGATCAATAGTGAATTGCAAGGGAAGAATCAGGTCACGCCATAACGTTGATCATTTAGGTCAATCCGAACTCATAAAATCTTGGCGAAGTAAATTTTCCATCATCTAAGACAACATAGAAAATCACCAATAAAACCTCATTTCTATGGTTTGTCAACAGTCACAACTTGTTTATGATTTTTTCCTATAAGTTTTATTTTCTTTCTTTAACTGTTACTAGAATTAAATTAAAATAATTAATTGTAGCTATTGCTTGAATTATTATACAAAATATGATATCCACATGTGTCCATTAGAAATTGCGATTATTTTGTATAGAAAATTTCAGTAAAAAATAGACACGAACTAAACTAATAATGATTTACCAATCCGAATGATGTAATAGTTTGGATGGTCTATAAACTTTTATACTAAAATTATCCGATTCAGATTGAACTATACCAAATTGAACCGAGGGAACAAAACTAACCGAATTATTACTTTGCTTAAGAATTTTATATTTTGTGAACTAATTAGATGTATTTATCATGAAGTTACTTGTTTTTTTTTGTATTTAAATTTTTATTTAACTTAATTTTAACTTTTAACCAATTTTTATAGAAATATTAATTTAAATAAATATTATATTTTGTCAATAGTAATATTTTAGTATTTTAATTGTTGAAATAGTTGTTTTTGCAAAGTTTAAGAACATTCAAATATGTTTGGTAATGAATATAATAAAAAAAAAATTATGGGAATGACACATCATAAAAAATAGTCTCCAATATTTATCTTTTAATATATACTAGATTTTGATCCACGCCAAACGCGAGATTAAATAATTAAATATGTTTTCTAATTGATTTAATATTTAAATGTGTATGACAAAGTATATGTTTTTTTGTCACGACAAAGTAGATGATTTCTAATATCTATAAACGTACAAAAAAATTATATGTATTGTGTATAGATGTAATAAAGTTGAATTTTGATGAAACATATTTTGATGTCATTAGTTTTAATACTTTTATGTGTAAAATTAATCAAAACATATGCAAATGTTATTTATTTAAATATATTTAAGTGTAAAACTAATTTTTATTATTCGTGTAAATTATAGACTTTGCGATATATCATATAAATTTTAAATTTATATTAATTTTTTGGACATAACAAACAAAAACAATAGATGTTTTTCAATAATGAAATGTGTAAATATTGGTAAGTTTAGTTATATATGTTTTAAAAAGGAAACTATGTAAAATGAAAAAGGAAACTATGTAAAATAAAAATTTATACATCTTATAAAGTAATAATAATATATTTACTGTTAATATCCAAAAGTGTAAGATTTGACAAAGTGTAAGATTTGACAATTATTGATCTCTATGGAAAATAAATCGATGACATTAATGACGTTTGTCAATCATAGAATTATATCTAATGCTTAATAAAACTATTATAAAATATTTTATAGGTTTTTATGCGATAATTCACATATATATATTGTTTTATTATTTAACTCTGTAATATTTCGATTGTTATAAGATTTTATCATATATTTAATCATTGTGGGAAATTTTTTTTGTTATTAAGGATATTATTCTAATTCCATTTATGTATTGATATAATGCGTTTTTGGCGTATTCTAACCCTTATTTTGTTAGTTTTTATCGAGTCTTTCATTCTATATTGAGTCTTTCTAGGTCTAAAAAGTGGTTGGAGTAGAGGATTGAAATTTGTAAGGAGACTTGACGAAAAAAAAGGTAAGCATGATCTTTCCTTGAAGATTATGAAGATAAGAAGCACCCGCTCCCGATCGGCTGACCTGCTCCACAGAAGATCCATTTTTGGAAATTTTCATTAAACCTAATTACGCCACCTAGAGTTGTCCTAATCGATTTCAGCCACCAAAACCCCTTTAAAAAAGGGAGATATCTTCCAGATTAAG